GACGGGGAGATGGGGGATGACGGGATGAGAATGGGGAGATGGGGGAGATGGAGAGAAACGGGGAGATGGAGAAACTGGGGAGATGGGGGAGATGGAGAAGATGGTGCAGCTGGCCTGGGGAGGCAAAACATTGTATAATGCCGACATTGCTCACTTTGTGAACCGAGAAGAGAGGGGAGAGAGAAGAGGACTGAGAAGCAGAGATAGGTGAGGACAGGAGGTGTGGTGAGGATAAGAGAGAGAATACGTGGTAGGGGTTTAAGGAGAGAGATTAGGAGGAGAGTAGAGGAGGAGAGAAGAGAGGGGAGGAGGGGAAAGGAGTCGAGAAGAAGGCAAAGGACAGGAGAAAGGGGAGGACAGAAGAAGAGAGGACACGAACATTTTAAATAGGAGAGAAGATGGAGAGAAGGCGGAGAGGAGAAATTAAAAGGGGAGAGACAAGAGGACACGACAAATTAAAAGGGGAGAGACAAGAGGACACGACAAATTAAAAGGGGAGAGAAGACGGAGGAGAGGAGACGAGAGGACAGGAGCATGGACAGAAGAAGAGGCAAATGGAAAGGATTCTAGATTTGAAGCTTTCGTGACTGCAAGGATTCATATTCTTAGGTTTTTTTCGGTAAAGTCACGTAGGTAAAAAATTTAAATTAATAAAAGTAAAATAAAAACTAAATAAAAATCACGACGTTTCGGAGGCAACACAAGCTTCCGTCTTCAGGTGGAACCGTCACAGCACGATAGCTGTATCACTTGTTTTTATTTTACTTTTATTAATTTTTATTTTTTTACCTACGTGACTTTACCGAAAAAACCTAAGAAAATGGAAAGGAGTTCAGAGGAGTTCAGGGGCGGACAGAAGGGACGGGGGAAAGTCGATGAGAAGAACGATTAACAATCAACGCTGGTGATTTTTTTCCCCCCCCTCCCACACAAAGGCCACGCTGGACTTCACAGAGCCCCGTCGACAACCTCAGGGTAACCAGGCGACGAGGCCGCTATCGTATCACGTTTACACTCCGGCAGAGAGCGAGCGAGAAGGAGAGCGAATAAGTAAATAAATAAATACCATAAAACAGGCAACCCCCCCCTGCCCCCCTCCCCACCACCACACACCAATTTTCCAGATCGGATTTCCATCCCAGCAGGAGGCCGACACCTGGCTTGTTGGACACAGCCATGAACAGTGTCGGGTTGGTTTGAAATGTGAAACAAGGTGCTACGCCGAGTTAGAGGCAGGCGACACACGAAGATAAAGATAAAGGTCCCCCGTTATAGCCTTGATGGACTTTTGTGGCAAGTGCTGTTAACGAGCACCTATGAAGGCCGGCACGGCGCACAAAGCCGTGGACTGCCGGTGTACTACCCACCGCTGATGTTTTCACATGGCGCCGGGTACTTGCTTTAAGGCTGAGTCGACCTAGTGCAGGCCCAGGGATCGGTTTCCGATAATCGTCACCGGTGGTTGGGGACCATGAGCGGGAATCAAACTCGGGTCGCTGGGTTCGTGGCGCAGTGCGTTAACCACTGCGCCACCACTCCCCACAACGCGCACAGGCACACACGTACACGTGCACAGAGACGTGCATACGCATAGGTGCGCAAACGTGCACAGGTTCACACGTGCATGCACGCACTCATAAACACGCGCGCAGGTACAAAGAGAAACCATCGCCCACGTGCAGTCAGGCCATGTGGGATCAATTGCCCTGTGACCCCCAGCCACTGCCAACACTCCGACTGCTGACGCAACGTAGCTCCTTGGGCTGTCACCAGGACTATGACGTCTCAATTCAGGGAGCGGGTGCCTCACGGGATAATAATGACAGTGAGCATGGCGATGAGGTTGAAGGCAATTATGATGATTTCGATAATGATGACGATTACCATGATGACGCTACCATCGTCAGCATCATCATCATCATCATCATTTCCATCACTGCCATCCTGATCGGTCATAACCGCCGCTGCCACGGTCATCGCCATCATTGCCATCACATCCCTCGTTAGTATCTCCACCGCACCTGCATCACCGCCAACATCGCCGGAGTCATCACGGAGGGAGGAGGGGGGGGGCTAGGGGGAGCGACGGGACGGTGGCGGGGGGGCTCCGGAAGTCGTGCGGCCTTGGGCACGGTGCCCCCCCCCCTCTTCCCCCCCTCCCCCTCCTCCGTTTCCACGGCCCCCCTCCATCCCACCGCTTCCCCTCCACTCCACTCCCTCTCATTCTTCAACTCTCAGGGGCCTGAGGAACAAACACGAAGGAATGCCGCTGCCGCTGCCGCTCTGCTACGGTGGGGGGGGGGGGGGGTGGGGGGGGAGTTGTGGCGGCGGTAAAGTTAAGCAAATAAAAATAAATAACCTCGACGCAGAAAACACAAACAAATATTAACGGCGGCGGACGTGACAGTTCCGATGGGACCCGAGCCGTCACGTGTCCGCCGGAGAAATAACAAAAATGTAAAATAATTTAAATTCCTGTGTCGCCGAGTCACCCGGCTCAGAAATAAGACGTCCCGCAACAACAAGCTGGGCAAGCCAGCCGATGAGGCGAGCCGCGTCCACTTGGCACTGCGGTCGTCCCGATTTGACGGCGGTCAACAGGGAATGGATAAAAAAGTAAAAAATTAACCCGTAAAAACAAAGTTTTTCACTCTAAATCCTTTATATGCGTGGCGGCTAGAGTCCTCTCGTCCTCTGGCTTGAGATGGCTGCCACCTATGGGTCAGATGATTGCCTGCCACCATTAAGCAATTGGTAATTAAATATAATTATTTTTTCCTAAAAAGTGTAAAATTTAGGAATTTTTTTTCACGAAAATAAATTGTGACGCACAACGAGTCTGTGTGCAAAATGTCAGCTCGATTGTATCACGGGAAGTGGGTTAAAAAACGACCGAAAGATTTGCACGGTCGTAAGCGCGCAAGCAAGCAAGCAAGTGAACTTAATATAAAGGATTTAAAAAGGCGACGGATTTTGTACGGTGACCCCTGGGTTTTTTTTTTTTATCTATCATCATCACCGGCCACGGCTAACATCAGTGGCCGAGTGATATCTCCCGAAAGAGGTCCCCAGCGCTTGCTGGAGCAAACCCGTTGCTGGGTCGGGACATGCCCTCAGTGAATTGGAACAATGCGCACTCCCACACTGGAACTAATTATATGATGCATTATCCAGGACACCCTCAACTGGTAGTGGAAGTGTGATGGACACGTTGATTTGTACCAGGTCCTTAGCGCATTGCATTATGAAACCCCTGCTAATCCAAGTTCGATTCCAGGCCATGGATAAATTTTGCAGCAAGTGATATCTGAAAATGGTTCAGGGCAAGCCTCCTTCACCAACCTGCACCTACTAAAGTGGTGACGTATGGCCAAGATGGACAGACATCGATCGTGCGTTCAACATATCTCCCTTTTACAGTGGCGAGCCAATGAATCGTCATATCGGGGGGAGGGGTTCATGATTCGATTCGAGAATCAATTATTTTCCTCCCCCCCCCCAACACTGTGGTAAATGTAGCGGCCTCTAGTGGCTGTACAAGAGTCAGTCAGGCAATCCCATCGCGTAGAACAAATAGGAACCGAAAAACATAATTTTGCGTGCGATTCGATGCGTAGTTAGTGAGCCTTTTGCAATCGATGTTAATCTATTAACGGTCGACGAACTCCTACGCTCAACCGCGAGACCAAACGAGATCTGAAGTTCAAAGCTTGGCGATAAATGATAATTACCGAACATTTAAATTCTGGCCCTTAAGGGTAACGAAATCGGCAGAGGAACGGAATGCATGTTTTTGCACTTAAATTGCCCTAAGCTGAAGTTTAACGTCGGCTACTTTTTTTACGCGATAATGATGCCGATGGCAATGCTGTGGCCCGTGCAACGCTGTTCTTAACACAGCCCGTGGCGCAGAGTAACGTTTCGCGGGGGGAAATAACTCACAACTTTGGCTCGAACCCCGCTTGGGACTTATGTTTCGTCGTGGTAATGTAACTCTCGGTCCGATTGGCTGAACAGGCCATTGTCGCGTGGTTCTCAAGGCGATGCCAAATCCAACACGCTCGTCCCAGCAGTAGGTGGCAAATTTGGGTCAATGTTGGCATGTGGTTGAAACCATTGGATCAATGGTGGCCGAATGTTGTATGTATCATACCTGTCAACCCCTTATCAGTGCCCTACCTTATTACAGACCAATTCAGACCTTATTGGCCACCCCGTGCCCTTACAAATCTCAACGTTCATTCTACAAAGTCCCATCACAAGGGAGAAACACAAACAAACAGACACATTTTTTTTGCCTGTATTGAAACAGCTGTTCGCTGTATGGACCTGAAAACTCAATTTCCCTGTACGAGAATATGGGTAAACCGTATGGGTTGGCTGTGTCGGGTGGGGACGGGTTTTAATGACGCATTTATATATTTACGCGATCTAACCCAAAAAAAACCCTCTATCACAATGCGTTGATTATTTTTTTTTTTACAGAGGCCAAGCAGGTGCCTCCCGACGCCGAGATCTTTGTCTTTGACCGGGTTGATGATGAACGCGGCGATCAATTCAATGGAAGTGGTTCAGTTGGAAGTGGTGCTGATTGTGGTTTTGGTAACCCCAGCGGCAAGAGACGGTGGTAATGGGACATTAAAAGTTCAGCCCCGCAATTGCTTGCTCGCATCACTGCTAGCAGAAGAGGCCTCCGCTCGAGATATCTTAGCCCCTCTCCAAAGCAAATTTGGCCTACTCTTCCACGCTGGCTTAGGCGTCGTGGAAGAGGTGCGAGCACCCACACTTTTCTCCCCACCGCACGCGAGCTGCCGATCGATTAACTACGGCGCATCCAATTTGCACCGCCGCCGCGGGCCGCAGCGTTTCAACCGGACGACACCGACGGCAGGACTGAGATAGAACCGGCGACCTCTGAATCGCAAAGTCCTGCCATGTGAACCATCATCGCGCCACGGCGGCTTCCGAGGGGGGCGGTAGCAGCGGCGGTGCCGTCCCACCTTCTGGCCCAGCGCCTCCCCGGACACGACGATGACGGTGACGCCGTCGCGCGTGGCCTTGGGGATGTTGGCGGCGCGCAGCTCCTGGTAGGCGGGCTCCACCATCTTGTCACTGGCGCGCAGGTTCACCCACAGCTGCAGGCCGTGCGCTGGGCCCGCGTCGTTCACCGGCATCTCCGAGTGCACGACGCCGCGCCCGGCCGTCATCCACTGCGGGGCATCGCACGGCATGGCAGTCACCGACCCGACGAATGAACGCCGTTGGCCGGGCACACGGCAACCGGGATCAAATCGGGGTTGTCATTTATTTCGCAGGACGACAATCGTCACGATAGCAGTTTCCCTGAGCTTAGTGATTGATTTTTGTTGATTTATTGCGTCGTTTTTTGCACTTTGCCATAATTCCAGGTGGAGATTTACTTAAAAGTGTATTCAGCTGCAGTGCCCTCAACATAACCCTGGCATATTTGGTCTAATTATTTCCACTTTACAATCTGTAACGCTTACGACGGGCACACTATCCTTTCGAGAATTCTTCATGGAGTAATTAAATTAAATGACTAAAACGACGAGGCGATAAAACACGGTTACCCATAATGCAATTTGTTGGCACCTTATGAAAAAAAATGTATGCTTAGTTTATGCGAACGTATTTTAACTGTTGAAGGGTTTGTCCATTACTAAATATCTACCGCAGTACAACTGTCTCGTATTCACTGTCCGAGAACGAGGAGCCACTGAGGTCAAAACCGATAGGAAGTTGGGTAATTTCGTTTTTATCACTGTTCAACCAAGACTGAAATCATTAACGCATGAGCTCCAGTCATCTGTTTTTTGTTTGTCTGTCTGCCCATCTGTCTGCCCATCTGTATGTCCATCCGCATGCTAGTTCCAATTTGTCCAGGCTATTCCCAACAAGTCCCAGATACACTGGGGCGATCATTCCTATTTATCCCAAGTTGAAGGATTTCTATCAAAGCCCCCGGTCAACTTTCGCTCGGTGGAATTTCGCTAAATCTATGCTTCCCCCCATAATGTGGAACTCCCCTCCCTCGGCTGTACCCACTGTCGGGACTCTTCCCTCAGCCACCCGTGCTGTCGACTCCCTGCCCCTAGTCCAGACTCAAGCCCTTCACTGTTCTCCTGCCTACGACTGGCTGCCACTTTCCACAAAATTAAATATGTAAATATACCCGCTGCTTCTGCGCAGCAACTCGTAGAGCGGTCACGTTCGAATGCTACAACAAATTTGAATTCTCTTACTATTGTACAGTGGTGAACCGTTGTCCTACATTTTGAACAACAAAAACATGTGCATGCATTTATGAATATTCTAAGGGTACATTCCAAAATGAGCCTCTTCATTGGAGGCTCAGTCTAGGGAGACCGGTAGCGTTTTTGCGATCGGGCCTTCAAGGTCACGCGATGACACCGGGAAAGCGTCGTGCGGGCGTCGAGTCAAAAGAGTCCGCGGTTGCAAAACCCGGCGAAAAAAATGTGGAAGCACTCAAAAGGACGGATAACAATCGCGTGCTGGGAAAAACGACTGCTGCAAAACATTCGGCGGGAAAAAAAACGTCAGGACTACAAATGGAAGGACGATGGCTGGGCAGGAGCGCAGAGGTAGGAGAGTGCGAGTTTAGGAACTCGCAGGTTTACTTGCCGCGGGTATTAAGGTAAGTTTATATAGCCCACTGCCAAATCACTCGTAAAGCGCCCGACCTCAATCGACCTCGGAAGCTAAGCTGACTTGAGCCTGGACAGTGCTCGGATGGGTGACCACCGTGTACAAACAAGTTGCTATAGGCGGCTGCGGAGAGACTGCGATCAACAGAAGGCAGGTGCAGAAATGTCCATTGTCGTACGGTACACGACTTCTATTCAGACGAGTCCAAGCTCGCCCATTCTCACCAAACCCACAGTGACCAGCGTGACCCAGTGTGGTAAAAACAACCCCCAGGACCCGCACGGTGCGGTGAGGCCCTCATCCAGCAGTGGATAGACAAAAGGGCTCTCCAGTGTGGCCGTAAACACAGCAAGGCAGCTGTGTGCACAGGGGCTCGGTCTTCGACGACCTTTGGTTTGCGCGTACAACGATTGCGGAACGGACAAACATCGCATTCATCAATAATCATTTTCAAAATGTGGCCATCTATCAGCAGGTGTCCCGAGTGCGAGTACACAAGTAATCAGTCACTCCCCTAAAATTGTCATGTAGTTTTGCATCCTTGACTCTAAAGGGTCCTTGACCATAAACATTGGGCAGTCCACGAGCATTGGTTTACGCAAACCTGTCTCTGCTGATGCAACACTGACAGTCAAATCCGGTCCAGAGTTGTTGGCTTGTATAAAACCGATGCTGCCAATAAGATCCACTCCCAAAAGGCCATGTGGCCAGTGGGAATTGTAAACAAAAAAACTTCATGGTGGAGAGACAAATATATTATTTATTTGTAATTCCATTAAAATGTTTTGTCCACTCTCCCGCACAGGTCAGGTTTCTCAAGGAAGTAACACGCATCTCACAACTTGCACTTTGAAAAGTGCTTTTGGTTGTCGAGTGATAAGTATGTATGAATGTTGAACTTCTTTCGCGCCGTACATAGCCAGCCGTGCTAATCGGAGATGCGGGGGAAGGACAACAAACTAAACACAAAAATAAATTCGTTTCAATCTAGATATTTAAAAGTGCGTAGCTCCAGTGGCTTCCTAACATCGGAAGGAAGAGCGTTCCAGACGGCCGCAAAAGCGCATCTGAAAGCGCGCCATGCAGTGACCATCGAAGAGTTATAAGTAGAATGACAATACATTCATATGAGTAATAATGATAATTCCATTTGCTGTCACGATACGTGACTTCAAATTCTTTATGATCACCCCGATCTTGGTCAGTCCCAATGCGTCACAGTCATTCCAATTAAGAAATATGACCTTTAACCTGTAGGCCCTTATGATCTGTCACCTGTGGGCCACCACTCCCCCCCCCACCCCACCTCGTAACCACTAGCCCCCACAAGCCCCCGCGCGACCTCTGACCTGCAGATCACCGGCGTGCAGCGTGCCCTTGTGGCCGCAGAAATCTTCGTGCGTGAAGGCACCACTGAGCAGGTACGTCACCTGAGGGTGGTGGCGTGACAATGTTAGGGAGGCAAAGGGGGGAGCGAGGTCAGAACAGAAGGCAGCGATAATGTTGCGACCGAAGAAAAGGAGGGCGCGGTTGGCTACGCACGGTGCGAAAGAAGTTTCAACGCAACAATTTTTGTTTACAAAAATTATTCGACGGTTCCATCGCTAACAAAAGGGGAAATTGGCCCAATGAGATGTGACGCGATGTGTTTTGGGAGCACAGCGATGTGATCAGTGTTGCCACCTCGGAGTTACAAAAAAAACCTGGGACACATCTTGGGGTGAAGAAGATCTCATCATTCCGGAAGAGGGGAGAACTACATGTGAACGCGACCGAAACTTTTTAACGTCACGGGTAGACAACTACTGCCACCCCCTCAACAAACAGATGATGATCCTGAAAAAAACAGTGCAGGTGCCAACTGTAGATATGCTTCGAGGTCATCGATGAAACCGACGGATCATCGTCGCACCGTCTCGAAGCCGCGGTGCGGGTGATCGGGAAACCCGGCCGCCGATCCTGGCGTCGTTCGGAACTCGTCCATCAACAGGAACGGGTCCAGGTTGTGCAGCTGGCAAAGGGGGCGGGGGGGGGGGCGGTGCATGGAGGAGGGGCAGATACGGAAGCAAAAAACGTGAAGCAACGCCCGCGGGCCGGCGAGGAACCGCGCGAACGATTCAGACACACACACTCCCGATTGGCATGATCGGCTCTGTACGGTGCAAAAGAAGTTCAACATACATACGTATGTACCGATTCTTACATATGTGTTACATACAGGGCCGGATTAAGATTTTGTAGGCCCCTGGGCGACAGGCACTGTGAGGCCCCTCCAGTAATATTTCCAAAAGGAAAACAAAGTTAAGGAAAAATACAATTATTTTTTACAAGGCTAACAACAAATAAAATTCAGCATTCACAAATGAAATAACCTGGCGGAGGCCCCTGGGCTGCAGCCCCTAGAGTCTCTTGCCTTCATCCGGCCCTGCTTACATAAGTTGGCACCGTTGGGGGCACAGCTGGTGCATCTGCCAGTCATCTCAGTCAGTCAACTCATGGCACCACCTGGGTCTGCCCCGTGACCTCCTGTAAGTGAGCCTTCGACACTTTACGTGGCCTCAAAGTGCACCTGGCCTGGCACAGGCGCTGTGGTGACGTCACCACTACTTAGTGGCGAATGTCGGCTGTTGTTGTGTGAATCTATGATCTAGATTTTAAGTTTTCGTGATTGCAGGGATCCATACTCTTTGGTTCTTTCGGTAAAGTCACGTAGGTATAAAAAACGTGACTTTACCGAAATAACCAAAGAGTATGAATCTATGATGTCAATGAGCAAATGCGTGCATGTGTACCACTACACAGGAATGTGTGTGCGTGCGTGCGTGTGTTTGCGTGTGTGTGTGTGTGTATGTGCACAAGTTAAGTGGGGGTACGACTGCGTACGACCGTGCAAGAGTGCGCACGCGTACAGCTGCATCGGTAATGTGTGCATGCGTGCGTGCGTGTGCAGGTGTCCGTGCATCCCTCATTGTGCGCGTGGGTGTCACAGTGCAGGTGCGTGCGTGCGAACGCCTCCACGCCGACGCGCGTGCGCACGTGTGTATGCCTCTGTGAGCCGTGCACACGTGCGTGTGTGTGCGTGCGTGTGTGCGTGCATAAGGGCCACGCCAGGTGTCCTTGCTGGTCAACCTTGACATGACCTTCCACGCCACTGCCACAACAGGACGCTGGGGAGCCACCAACCTCTGGTCTCCGCTCACCGGAGGTCCTGGCTACTGGTGGGGGGTAGGGGGTGGGGAGGGGGGGTAACGCATCACCACCCCCAACACACAACCCCCCCCCGCCCCCCCCCCCCCCCTAAAAAACTTCATCTCTCCCCGGATTCCGGAACTGGATTCGGCATGGCTCATCGAGTCACACTATGGCACGCCAGCTGGTGGAAAGATTGAGCTGGCGCTGCGAAGAAGGAAATTCCTTTGACGGATACTACACCTTGTCGTGGGTGTGTGTGTGTGTTTTTTTACGGCTACGTAACTCCCCGCTGTGTGTTCCCGCTGGATCCCTGTTGCACACGAGATATTTGTTGTCTCAATCGGCTCTCATCGTTATTGTCATCGGCCACGACCTATATCATACTCTCAGTTTTTTCTGTAAAGTCACGTAGGTAAAAAATGAAATTAAAATTAATAATTATTTTATTTTTATTAATTTAAATTTCATTTTTTACCTACGTGACTTTACAGAAAAAACTCAGAGTACGAATCCTTGCAGTCACGAAAGCTTCAAATCAAGAATTAACGACCTTTATCCCACCGCTGAATGAAGACCTCCCCACGCCGTCGCAATCTCTGCCCTGGTCACGTGATGCCCCACAATCTACGCAGCTCCCGTACATCGGCTGACTTCATCATCGTTCCATCGCCACAGGAGATGCGGCGGTGGACTGAGGTTCTCTCCTTTAGCTGCCACTCTTTCGTTAGTCTCGACGACTATCGGCCACTTGCCCCTTAGAGCGACTTGTCCTCGTTAAGTCCACTTATCCTGCTGAACAGTCCGTGTGGTGTCATCATCATCATTCCACCACAACAGACACAATTAAGAGCAGCATTGCATCGAACACAAAAACCTCTATTATGGATAATATTGGTAGCGAAAGCCTATATGTTAAACTGAGCATTGCATGGGTCTTCACATTAAAAATGGTTTGCCCTTTCAAGGTCCTGACCCCTGCCATAAGAATCTGGAATTTCCATCACATGGCACAGAGCTGGATATGGAGATGAGTGGCACCCCATGTTCACTGGAACAGAGGACATCTGTTACTTGACAGCTTGAATTAAACTGGGTGTCTGATTGTAACGTTCCATACCGTTGTAACAGGCCATAGTATACCCACAAACCGTAGTATACCCGGAGTTAAAACGGCCTAGGCTAGATTATACCCGGGTATATTATGGCCTAGGCCCATTTATACTTTGGGGTATATTATGGCCTAGGCCAAATTATGCCCCTCTACGCCAAATCATACCCCCATGATAGTAATAGTGTTGAGCGATATACACATTAATTACTAAATATTTCCAACATTTTATTTAAAACTGTAAACACATAGACTTTGATTGCTTCAACCAGAAAAACTTTCATAATAACCCTAACCCTAAAAATGCTTCAATTAATCAAATTGAGATTCTTACTTCCATGTAGACGATTTTTAGATATCGATTGAAGTTCGTTGTCGGCTGTTCTCTGTATGAATAATTGCCTTTGAACTTTCACATGGGGCATATTTGGCCTGGAGGGATATGGTCTGACCCAGGCTAGTTTAAACCCCCGGGGGGTATAGTTTAGCCTAGGACACTTTATCCCCCCGGGTAGACTCTGGCCTGGGCCAAACTATACCCGGGTTTAATCGGGGCAGGGGTTATTTTAGCCTGTTACACCGGGATAATAAATGGGGCAGCCGTCTGAAATCGTCTCAAGATGGCCCGGGCCAGTCTGATACCTCTCAGAACTCGAGCTGGTTACAAAAAGTGATTACACATGACCTGACAAATTACTCGCGTTTCCACGCGAGTCGGGCAGGCCTTTCACAGGAATACTTCCGAGTAAGACTTTCCCAGGAACGCTTGTGAATAAAAGAACAAGACCAATGCCCGGCGGTTAACTGTACAATGAAACATCTGTGCCACCTACGACATTTTTTATTGCAACATTTTTGGTGATATATTTCCAATCGGGCCCAAACGCTTGGATGTAGGGAACACACAGGCCTGGTCTTTCGTTTAAAGTTTGCAGATAGTACCCCTTTGCTCTGGTTAATATCTAAGTTTAGGGGAGCAATTTTATACATTTTGGTCGATTTTCTGCAGGCTAAATTCCCAAAAGGCTACGCAATTTCACGCTAAAGCGTTGTTCACAATGGATCACCTTCATGAGAGCTATTGTTTCTCTCCATTATAGACGGAGGCAACGCGTAAACGCTTTCAACCCGAGTTGAAAATCGTAACAACAAAATCTAAAGCTCTACCCGAAAATGAGATGTGAAAACGAGCCAAATATATATAAATATTTTAACCAACATCGCTGCCCCGAATCGCGACAATCATCAAATCCCTGGGGGAGATTCAATCGTTACACCCCAGCAATTTTAGAAAATTTGAAAACGATTAAAAAAATAATACGAACCCCTTGAAAACTCAAGAAAGCTCAAATTACCGAACTCGATTAACTAATTGCAACACTGCCGGCCGAGCCACTGCCGCCGTGCGAGCCGTGACGGCAGGTGGGGCCTTTGTGCTGTGTGTGGCCCCTTTCATAGAAACTAAATCAATTTAAAAAACACTCGGGCCCTCAGAATAAACCACGAGCACAAAACGCCGCCTTGCAGAAATTCCACGAGCAATTGAACTGGCGGGTAGTCAGAAGTGGGGGGGGGGGGGGGGGGGGGGGCTGTCGGCTAGGTAGGAGAGGAAAAATGAACCGTGCAAAAACATCCTCTCTTGAAGAAAAAAAACAGCCTGAGCTTTTCCAAAAGCGGTGTGTTTCGCACGTGTAGGAGTACTTGCGGCCGTGGTGGTAGCACCGAGCACGCGCACGGCTTGCAAATCCGAGGTCGCCGACTCTATTCCATCTCGCGGCCGCGGTTTGTCAATTGGCAGGTCGTGTGTGGTGGGGTGAAACGTGGGTAATTCGACCTCTTCCGCGACGTCCGGTTGGCGTGGAAGAGTAGGCCAAAATGCCCTCTCCAGCGCGGCTCTCCAGAGCCCCCTCACAGTGCGGAGAGGGCCCTTCCGCCAACAGTGGCATAAGACGGCCATTTATACCTCCACCTTTTTCAGGAAGACATAGACTCCCTCTGAGTTTAAAAGGGGCACTGCACAGCATTCCATGCCATCCGCAGTACGATTCCTCGTCGGGATATGCACCAACAGCGGCAAGTGCTTTCTGAACAAGGCCCTTCGGTCAACTTGGCGTTAAACAAGGCCTTTGGTGAAATATGGATTACTCATTCAATAAGTCAATAGTTTTTATACACGTGGGATGCTAAATGCATCGTCACCATCCCAGCGCGGATGAAAGTGCCTGTTGGTTTGAGCATGTCTAAGGACTCTGTGGTATTTTACGAGCATTTCTCCCTTGTAATAAGGAAAGGCGGACCAATTGTTTATTTCAGAATGACAGTCTTAATTGGTTAACATTGTACAAAACCCTAGTAAATGCCACTTCATGATTACACCGGCGATCATTCAACATCCGGAGCTTTATTTCAGCCGGAGCTGTCTGGGGCTGAGCACCGTAAAATATTTCCAGGGTCCGGGTAGTTGGGGATTTGGAGGTTGGGGGGATCAGGGGTTCCTCCCGGAATATATTCCATGAGAAATTAGGCCCTGGACCACATCCTTTAAAGTGTCCTATACGTACGTCCGGAATTGTGGAACAACTGCCCTCGTGGCGGCATGACACAGGTGGCACACGTGGAATAAAATGCTGAGGTCCGGCCATCAGACACTTCCGAAATGCCGGTCATGCTATCAGACACCGATCCTAACGTGGAGTTTTTTCTCTTGCTTCACCGTGAGAGGGCCCCCACTGGGTAGCGAAAGATTTACAACTCTACTGGCAGAGTGAGCAGTTAAATAAACTTAAGCAGACATAATGCAGTATCGGCATAGGACTGTTTTAGAGTTATACGTAAGCCCTCATGACCAATCTTATGATGCGTAATTTGTTTCTTTTTTTTTTGCTGAAAACCCCAATCAATCAGAACGTTTGTCCACATGACAACTCGATTTGATTCGCTCTGTCGGATGGTGGAGGGTTATAGTTAAAACAATGACGATATACGTACACGGTCGAACGCAAAAGAAACCAATTATGTATCATATTAATCTATTTGAATGTCATTCGCACCGTTTGCCCGCTAAAACATTTGACCTTTGAAAATATATTCAAGGTTATTTCACCGCTTGATGTATTCCAGTAGAGTTGTAAATGTCTTGCTCTACAGTGGGCGCCCTCAAAAGGATGAAACATACAAAATCCACGTTATAAATGGTGCCTGATTGCCTGGCTATCATTTCGGAAATGTCTGATGATCGCTTGACCGGCAATTCGGAAGGGGTCTGATTGACAACCAACTTTACCGGCACTTTGGAAGTGTCTGATGGTAGCTTGACTAGCACTTCAGAAGGGATCTAATCGATAGCTTGAACGGCACTTCGAAAGTGTCTGATGGTAGCTTGACCGGCACTTTGGAAGTGTCTGATGGTAGCTTGACTAGCACTTTGGAAGTGTCTGATGGTAGCTTGACCGGCACTTCGAAAGTGTCTGATGATAGCTTGGCCAGCACCTTGGAAGTGTCTGATGGTAACTTGACCGGCACTTTGGAAGTGTCTGATGATAGCTTGGCCAGCACTTCGGAAGGGATCTAATTGATAGCTTGACCGGCACTTTGGAAGTGTCTGATGGTAGCTTGACTAGCACTTTGGAAGTGTCTGATGGTAGCTTGACCGGCACTTCGAAAGTGTCTGATGATAGCTTGGCCAGCACCTTGGAAGTGTCTGATGGTAACTTGACCGGCACTTTGGAAGTGTCTGATGATAGCTTGGCCAGCACTTCGGAAGGGATCTAATTGATAGCTTGACCGGCACTTTGGAAGTGTCTGATGGTAGCTTGACTAGCACTTTGGAAGTGTCTGATGGTAGCTTGACCGGCACTTCGAAAGTGTCTGATGATAGCTTGGCCAGCACCTTGGAAGTGTCTGATGGTAACTTGACCGGCACTTTGGAAGTGTATGATGATAGCTTAGCCAGCACTTCGGAAGGGATCTAATTGATAGCTTGACCGGCACTTTGGAAGTGTCTGATGGTAGCTTGACTAGCACTTTGGAAGTGTCTGATGGTAGCTTGACCGGCACTTCGAAAGTGTCTGATGATAGCTTGGCCAGCACCTTGGAAGTGTCTGATGGTAACTTGACCGGCACTTTGGAAGTGTCTGATGATAGCTTGGCCAGCACTTCGGAAGGGATCTAATTGATAGCTTGACCGGCACTTTGGAAGTGTCTGATGGTAGCTTGACTAGCACTTTGGAAGTGTCTGATGGTAGCTTGACCGGCACTTCGAAAGTGTCTGATGATAGCTTGGCCAGCACCTTGGAAGTGTCTGATGGTAACTTGACCGGCACTTTGGAAGTGTCTGATGATAGCTTGGCCAGCACTTCGGAAGGGATCTAATTGATAGCTTGACCGGCACTTTGGAAGTGTCTGATGATAGCTTGACTGCCACTCTGGAAGGGGTCTGATGATGGCTTTACGTCAGTAAAAGTGTGGAAAACGAAGAAGCGATAAAAGCCGGACTCGTAAAATCGTCACAACCGTTGTACCCCATGGCGGCCAATGCCGCGCCGCACGCGAGCTCCCACGCCCTCATCCTGCTCCACGCTCGCCACGGATTTCACCACGAGGCGTCCCGCCATCGTCGCTCGCGCCGCTCTGCCACCACAGCGGGGAAGCGCGGACGTGTGAGGGGGCGGTGGGGTGGGAGGTGAAGGTGGGCAGAAATACGAAATTAGTTATTTGGTCATGCTGCGGGGTGGTCAGCGGTGCCCAAGCACAAATAACAAAACATCTCAACACGTTTGTCAATAGCACTGTGGCTTTAAAAGGGGGGAAATATGTATATATAATAGGTTTTTGGGCATTAGAAATGATGGTGGTGGAGGTGGTAGTGATGGAAATTATGGTGTTAATTGGTGGTGCTAATTAGGTTATAGAGTTATGATGGTGGTAGAGATGGTGGTGGTGTGGAGATGAGATGGTGGTGGCAGTGATGGTGGTGATACAGATGGTAGTGGTGGTGAAGGTGATAAGAGATGGTGGTGGTGGAGATGATTGTGGTGGTGATACAGATGGTGGTGGAGGTGATAGAGATGGTGGTGGAGGTGATTGTGGTGGTGATACAGATGGTGGTGGAGGTGATAGAGATGGTGGTGATAGAGATGGTGGTGTTGATAGATATGATGGTGATCATGGTGATGATGAATTCCTGATGGCAGTGATTTTAATGACGAGAACGATTATGGTAGTGATGTTGGTGAGATTAATGATAAAGTTGTTGGTGCAGATGACTGTGGTGGCGATGATGATGTTCACGGTATCAACAGCTATAATTATGACAATGGTTATGATGAAGGTGATGATGATGTTAATGATTATGATAATGGTCATTATGATATGGGCCGTCCATAAATGACGTCACGCGATTTTGGCCGATTTTTGACCCCCTCCCCCCCTCGTCACACGGCGTCACACAAAGTCAGACCCCCCTCAAATATGACGTCACAAAGCTCTGCCCCCCCCCCCCCCAAACCATATTTCCATTTTGAAAATAGCACATGCTTCAAATCACTTTCAACTATTGTCATTGTAGTGCGTATTTAATGTGGCGCTGCACTCTGATGTTGTAGGAGAAAACATGTATAAAAAGGAGGCGTTGGAAAGCTTAAATTTTGCATAAAATTCACTTGAAAATATTCAACGTCTAACTAAAACTGCAGATGTTCAGAATATTATATTTAAATGATCTTATAATTATAAAATATTTAAAGTACTTATAACTATTAAAAAAATACTTGGAACTTTGTAGTAGAACGAATCAAAATGGAGAGTACAATTATAACAATCACAGATTCATTCCACAGAATGAAAAGCCCTGGTAGAATAATTAAAATCTAAATGTTTAATAACAATCATTCAATAGTTAATAATGAAATTTTATTTTAAAAAATAAAGTGTTGTTATAACAATTATATTTAATTAAGTAGAACGTCGTTTATATTTATTTAAAGTTGCGCATTTTTACGTGACGTCACATTTCTCAAACCTCCCCTCCCCACACATCGTCACAAATGTCTGACCCCCTCCCCCCCCTAGGTGCGTGACGTCATTTATGGACGACCCCATAACGGTGGCAGTGTTTGACAGTGAGAGTCATGGAAATTATGGCAATAACTACACAGACTACGATAACACATTGAGATAATGACTTTACTTAAAAAACAATACAATCATGTATGTTTACACTTACTTAACAAAGTCTAAGTCTTTTAGTACCAATAATAAGTCACGCAAAATAAGCGTTTCCTTAACCCTACACGTGACCCTGATCCAAATCTTTGCGCCTAACCCCAAGTCTGCCTCCACATGTAAACAAAACCAAGCCTTAACCTTGAGCATACTGTAGTTCCAGTTCTAAATATAGGCACAGATGTAACCCCCAACACAGCAGCCCTATCTCTGTATACCGCAAGCATTTATATCACCGCCTGCATACAGACACACGTGGAGACAGATGCATGCACACATAGCCAAGCTCACAGACGTACACGTGTACACAAAAAGATGCATCGTGGAGCGTTAACAGACTATTGTGCCAAGCGCTGTTAGTGTCCACAAGTAGACACGCATGTACACTTGTACACACACACAGTGTAGACGCGTATAAACACGTGGGTTATCACACACACACACATCTTACTCACACATTGTCTCACACATGTACACAATCGCATACAAAGACAAAGATCCCCCGTGTAGCCTGTAACAGACTGTTGGGGCAAGTGCTGTTAGCGAGTATCTATGCACATCTCACATACACACACAAGTACACACGCAACACACACACACAGACGCACACTAAAACTCCCTGTGCTCACAAGTAGACGCACATCGACAAAGACACACGCACACGTGGACAATCTAACTCTCACACCCACAGAACATATCCACGTGGACAAACGCGTGGAGTACATCTCCAGTAGACAAAGATCACCAACCCCGTGTCGCCTTCGTAGACTTTTGGTGGGTAAGTGCTGTAAGCAAGCACCTTTGAAAGTCGGAAGAACCAGGTGCATCTACGCAACATTTTCATCGCTGTCAAGGGGCCGTCCATAAATGACGTCACGCGATTTTGGACGATTTTTGACCCCCCTCCCCTCGTCACACGGCGTCACAAAAAGTCAGACACCCCCCCCTCAAATATGACGTCACAAAGGTCTGTTGCCCCCCCCCCCCCCCCAAAAACCATATTTCCATTTTGAAAATGAAACATGCTTCAAATCGCTTTAAACTATTGTCATTGTAGTGCGTATTTAATGTGGCGCTGCACTCTGATGTTGTAGGAGAAAACTTTTATTAGAAAGTCAATTTTATTAAGTAGAACGTGTTGTCTATATTTATCTAAAGTTGCGCATTTTGATGTGACGTCACATTTCTCAACCCCCCCCCCGCCCTCGTCACACATCGTCACAAATGTCTGACCCCCCCCCCCAGGTGCGTGACGTCATTTATGGACGGCCCCCAACCCCTTTTCAGCAAGCCAATTCAGACCCTATTGGTGAACCCCGTGCCCTTTATAAATCTCAACGTTCATCCGACAAAGTTCAATCACAAAGGGAGAAACACAAACAAATAAGATAAATTATTTCTTTCACCTGAAAACTCAATGTCCCTGCACAAGAATACTGGACAACCCCTATGGGTTGACAGCTATGCATTATACACACGTACAATCGCACACGAGTACACACACACATGTATAATTCACACTCGCACACTACATCGTGTGCCAGTGTGTACACTGCTCTCTGTATGTATAAACACCATAATACAGACGAGAAACACTCACAACAACAACGGCAGACAGTGGACACTGAGCACGTGTGTGTGTGAGCCTGTGTGTGTGTGAGTCTGTGTGTGTGTGTGAGCCTGTGTGTGTGTGTGAGCCTGTGTGTGTGTGAGCCTGTGTGTGTGTGAGTCTGTGTGTGCGTGTGAGCCTGTGTGTGTGAGCCTGTGTGTGTGTGTGTGAGCCTGTGTGTGTGTGAGTATGTGTGTGTGAGTCTGTGTGTGTGTGTGAGTCTGTGTGTGTGTGAGCCTGTGTGTGTGAGTCTGTGTGTGTGTGAGTCTGTGTGTGCGTGTGAGCCTGTGTGTGTGTGAGAGCCTGTGTGTGTGTGTGAGCCTGTGTGTGTGTGAGTCTGTGTGTGTGAGTCTGTGTGTGTGTGTGAGTCTGTGTGTGTGTGAGCCTGTGTGTGTGAGTCTGTGTGTGTGTGAGTCTGTGTGTGTGTGTGAGCCTGTGTGTGTGTGAATCTGTGTGTGTGTGAGCCTGTCTGTGTGTGTGAGTCTGTGTGTGTGTGTGTGAGTCTGTGTGTGTGTGAGCCTGTGTGTGTGTGTGTGTGATACACAGTCACAGGTACAATACTTCCTGCTCACCTGTCCAGGCAGGTAAGGCAACTTCTGTCTCTGGAGTATCTGCTTCTGATCAGTCAGCCGTTGCGGATGAACCCTCGCTATGGGGTGGTATTGACTCGTAATGCAGATATGTGTCAGTGTGAGTCTGTGTGTGTCAGTGTCTGTCTCAGCGTCTGTCTCTGTGTCCGTCAGTGTGTGTGTGTCAGTGGCGTGTCGGTGAGAAGTGCCGAGTCACGATTGCTCAGTGGTGCTGGTGGTGGGGGAGCGGTGGGGGAACGGTGGCGTCGTGGTCCCCTGTGGCCACGAACCCGGCGACCCGAAACGTTCGATTCCCGCTCACGGCGGCGATTATCTTGGAACCGGTCCTGGTGGCCTCCCCCTAGGTCGACTCGGCCTCAGATGAGTCACCGGGTGCGGTGTGTCGTAGAAACATCGCCACCTGGGGGAGACAAAGGCGGCCGGGCGTGGGTAGTGCTGTGCCACCCATCCCCCCTCGTGTGCCACAGGGCCGGCCTTCATAGGTGCTTACTCGCTAACAGCAATTGCCCCTACAGTTACAGGCTACACGGGGGATCTTTGTCTTTGTTGTATGTCTCTAGGTGCTTGCTAACAGCACTTGCCCCTACAGTCTGTTACAGGCTACACGGGGGATCTTTGTCTTTGTTGTATGTCTGTAGGTGCTTGCTAACAGCACTTGCCCCTACAGTCTGTTACAGGCTACACGGGGGATCTTTGTCTTTGTTGTGTGTCTGTAGGTGCTCGCTAACAGCACTTGCCCCTACAGCCTGTTACAGGCTACACGGGGGATCTTTGTCTTTGTTGCGTGTCTGTAGGTGCTTGCTGACAGCACTTGCCCCTACAGCCTGTTACAGGCTACACGGGGGATCTTTGTCTTTGTTGTGTCTGTAGGTGCTTGCTACACAGCACTTGCCCCTACAGCCTGTTCAGGCTACACGGGGGATCTTTGTCTTTGTTGCGTATCTGTAGGTGCTTGCTGACAGCACTTGCCCCTACAGTCTGTTACAGGCTACACGGATGATCTTTGTCTTTGTTATGTGTCTGTAGGTGCTTGCTGACAGCACTTGCCCCTACAGTCTGTTACAGGCTACACGGGGGGTCTTTGTCTTTGTTGTGTGTCTGTAGGTGCTTGCTGACAGCACTTGCCCCTACAGTCTGTTACAGGCTACACGGAGGATCTTTGTCTTTGTTATGTGTCTGTAGGTGCTTGCTGACAGCACTTGCCCCTAAAGTCTGTTACAGGCTACACGGGGGATCTTTGTCTTTGTTGTGTGTCTGTAGGTGCTACTCGCTAACAACACTTGCCCCTACAGTCTGTTACAGGCTACACGGGGGATCTTTGTCTTTGTTGTGTGTCTGTAGGTGCTTGCTGACAGCACTTGCCCCTACAGCCTGTTACAGGCTACACGGGGATCTTTGTCTTTGTTGTGTGTCTGTAGGTGCTTGCTGACAGCACTTGCCCCTACAGTCCTGTTACAGGCTACACGGAGGATCTTTGTCTTTGTTATGTGTCTGTAGGTGCTTGCTGACAGCACTTGCCCCTACAGTCTGTTACAGGCTACACGGGGGATCTTTGTCTTTGTTGTGTGTCTGTAGGTGCTTGCTAACAGCACTTGTCCCTGCAGCTTGTTACAGCCTGTTACAGGCTTTGTGTCAGTGTGAAATGCTGAGTCACGATTACTTCCATGTTGCCCATCATTATTGGAGGGTCAGGCTGGGGTGGCTTTCTCGCTCGGACCGCCTTTGTATCCCCTGGCGCCAATGATGTATCACAGCAGCAACAGGCTACTATTTAAAGGTCGTGTTGTATGTTGGCCGCTGTAGCGAGATTGGTTAAACTGGATTGACAGATCAGCTTCGCCAAAGCCAGACCACACCTATAAAACATACTCGTGTACACACACACGTAGAACACCCATGTACACACACGTGTAACACATATACACGTGTACAGACAACGTATTCTAACCATGTACACAACCACGCACGTGTAACACATACACGTGTACACACAAATATACTAACCACGTACACACCCATACACGTGTGTGGGTGTGTACACGTGTGTGTGTGTGTGTATACGTAATAGCCACACACACTCACATGTACACGCACTTCCGATTAGCACGGTTGTTTACGTACGGTGCGAAAGACGTTCAACACACACGTGTAACACATATATATACACGTGGACACACAAACGTATACCGCCATGTACACCCACACACGTGTACACGCACCTCCGATTAGCACGGTTGTCTACGTACGGTGCGAAAGAAGTTCAACCCCGCACTCAGCGTCAGAGCTCGGCAAAGCAGAGGACAGTGATGACATCCAACGCTGCTGCTGCTGCTGATGTCACCGGGCGTTGGAGTGGGGGTGGTGGTGCTTCGATTTGTGGGGTCATGGCGCCCCCTGGCAGTAGGATCACCAAACCTGATTCACTCAAACCAAACCTGCTTCATTCATCCAATAAAACAAAAAATCATTACCGCCGAGTTACAATAATAATTATAGATTTTGTTCAGAAGCGACCTGGCGAGCACAAATGATAGCTCAACTAAATGGCTTTTTTGTACCACGTGGACATTTATAGCAGCCAAATACTCTAAATGCACGTTGGTTCTAAATGTGGAGAGACAAACAGGAGGACCCGGACAAAAATCCACGCCACCACGGGCAGAGACACATGCAAACTCTCAAGTATAAAGGCGTAAGGCTCGGGATCGAACCCACGACCAGCTGCATACCAGGCGAGGGAGTTAACATCTCGCCATCGGGAAGCTAAGCAGGTTTTGAGCCTGGATAGTGGTCAGGTGAGTGGCCGTCATGCACAAACAGGTTTCCATCGGGCTTTCAGGGCTAGCCTATAAGACAGCAGAGGGCAGTGTAGAAAAATATGTTGGACTGTACTTCGATGCTGTCACGTCAATGCTCCCTGACGTCGCCAACAGGCACTGACCAGCGTGGTGAAGTATGGTCAAATAACTCCCACGACCCGTATGGTGTGGGGAGGCCCTCATCCAGCAGTGGAATGACAAACGGCCGGACATATATACAGTAACATTGCAACCCAAACTGAGCAAAAATGCCAATGTTTTACGCAGATAAGTGAGCACCTCCGTTGATGATGCCAACCCAAAAGTGGAAATTCCTCATTGCCATGCCGGGAGCAAGCATTCCCAAGTGACAGTTCACGCGTGACCATAGCATTGCATTTAAAATGAAAAATACCGAATGGGAACAAGAATGTACATGAATGGAACTCGTGCAAATCCGACGGCAGGTTACATGCACGTCACTGGATGGGCCAACAGCTGGGCAGAAGGCGAGATGGTTCCAAGTGTCACACAAGTATTGGGACAGCAGTGGGCCAGATGCTGGTCTGGAGATAAGCGTTAGGATTGACGTGGGAAAAGCGACACTCAGCATGAAAAGGGAGCTTGTGATAAGGCGGATAAGCAGAGGGGAATTGAAGGAGAGACTCAAATAGAAGTGGGCACTACGAAGGAAAGACATTTTGAGACGGGAAGGTTTTGAGATATAAATAAGTGCGACGACAAATGGAGAAAAAAATCAAGTTGGAATGAAAAAAAAAGATAATTTTTGAGGTGCTCGAATGGGGGTCAGGAGTAGAGGTCTCATTGGAGCAATTTAGAGTGGGCAGAAATATTTGGAGTGGACATCGCCAGACCAGTGGCGTTGACAAATGTTACATCATAACGGTTAGTTCTATAAGGAAAGACTAGTCAAAGTTGAAGCAATATTTTCCCTCATATCTCACAATAGTCTTGATCCTGCACCTTAACCCCAACTCTGAGTCTAAAACTGAACCCCCATCTTGACGCTACAACACTCGACACCAGCTTTTACGCACAAATATAGTCAAACGACAGCAGGGCACGCATTTTGTATCGCAAAACATTTATTAGTACCAAATACATCGGTGCCCCCGTTGTGCCTGTGCGCGTGTGTGATGAGTGCAATAGCGGTCAATGATTACGTCAGCCTAAGTTCAATTCCAGGCTATGATGAACATCACACGAGGCAGCAATTGATATCTGATGTCAATCCCTAAGTCAACTCGGCCTAAACCGATTAACCTATATTGGCCGTGACGTCGCACACATGATCAGGGGGGAGACAAAGGTGGCCCTGACTTGCGTGTTGCCTGCCCCACCACCGATTCTAACATGCGTGCTGTGAGCCGGCCTTAATAGGTGCTCGCAAACGGCATCCTTGCACCAAGAATCCGGGATGTTGGTCTGTTTGTGTGTGAAACATACTGCAAGTTCAAGTTCAGTAGCTGACAACAAACATCGAGAACAAAACTGACAGTTACATCGACAAATGTTCACATTGGCAGCATCTCAAATCAAAGCATCTTCATTTAATCTCTTTTGTTGTCTTAACCGAAATGTTAACGCAGGCTAATCACGAACAAAACAAATGCATTTACGTCTAATAAAATATATTTACACCTGTTTTTAGAAAACAAAACACGCTATTCAGTTTCAGACTTGGTCAATAACTTAACTATATCCTGTTTGTTAAATTACCTACAGTATTCACATTTAATTATAACAATAATAAAAACACTTCTATTAATATCCCAGCTTTTATAAACAAAAGAGCAGTCAAAAATTTATGAGATGTTGACTACACATTTTTTTGTAAACCACACATTCTAGTCTATCGGCTCAGATCGGATAATTAAATTTTGCCAGTACCACTTTCGGTGATAAAACTTTAGTGAAGCTACCGATTATGGCCGGTGTCATCTGCGAGTCGCTGAACGACAAGATATTGAGCGAATAGCACACAACTCGCAACGGCTATCAAGACAAGACTCATCCATCCATTGCGGCGAAACGGACGACAACCGCCAACAGCATTGCGACCGACGCTCCCTTGGCCATATAAATAACTCGTTAGCACAGGCGTTTTGGCAATTCAGGTGGTACAAACTTCCTGGCCTATAAGACGACTCAATACACTTGTGCTATCCATTTCATTGAATAGGCACATTCACGTTTCACGTTACCACGCTGAGTACGCGCGCGTGATACATCGGGTCCTGTGCGTATCTCTTTATTTCAGTGTTTCAATCCGAAAACATTTTTGAGCAGCGTTTTAGGTTCCCACGTTTGGCTGGTGACTAAACACATCTCACATCGTACACCATCGCATGCTTGAGCCCCAGAGACATCTCAACCTGTGGTCCTTTTATTTTGTCATTCGGAGAAAATCGGCAAAAGTAAAAAATTTCCACACAAAGCGCTGCCTACCGACTTCCAGCCAACCTTCTCAGAATAAGTTTTGGCACTTTCGGAATTGGGATTCGTGTTTTTAATAATACAATAACTGGACGTCACTTGATAAACTTCACTGCTCTATTGGAACTCCAAAAACCTCATTCTGCCCTTCCGAGGGAGGGGTGAAGACTTCAAGGTTTAGACCGCGATGATGTCACCACGCGTCCACCTCCCACTTTCTACAAGAAACACGACCAAAAAACAAAAACACCTCACTTTCAGGACAAAAAGACGAAGATCCCTCCGTTAGCTTCCGACTGCCAAGACAAACTTTGCGCACTGCAGAGACAAAGGGGGCCTAAGAGTGGGTTGCTATCTGGCGAGCATCGCACGTTCGTCCGTCTTACCGGCTTTTATAGGCACTTGCCTCGGTAGCTAATGAAGCAAAGTGGAGGGTCTTTATCATTCTTGGGACAGGCACTCAAATACCAACACCCCACAAACACACCAATGTTGCAAATACATTTTCATTTTTTTGTGTAACCGTTCGTTGTAAATCTCTTATCGCAAGCAAAATGTCCTTTCCGGGGAGAAGAGTTTACGCATGGGAGCTTGGCGTAGCGCGCCTCGGTGTTTTTGGCGCATCCCACGACGACTCCCGTCCTGTACGCGCGATGATGCCAAGGAGTGAGCGAACATCGTCCCGTTGTTTAGTTTTTCCGCCTGGGGTCTCGGGGAAGCGGTCGATGTGGTGGGAGGGTCATCGGTTGCAGATGTTTCCACGAGTAGGGCCACCCACCACCTTCAAACACCAACACCGTTGCCGCCACTGCCGCCACCACCACCAGCGGCAGCAGCGGCGGCGGTTCAGAACTTCTGGCCATGATGTTCCAGCTGGCATCTGCATTCGACCTGGCTTCTTGTTCACTGAGAAGGCCAAACAGCGACGAACGTTTTGCCAAATGTGATCATTATGGAGCCGGCACAGACCTTGATGACGACGCTAATGCGGCGCAGTCCCGTTTGTTGGACACAGATGTCCAACATGAATTCTTAAATTACATACTTATCTTTTTATAAACGGGGTGGTTAAATGTTGGACAAATTGAATTTCATTTTTTGTATCCATGTTTTAACAATTATGTATTACATACAATATCCCATGTCGCCCAAATATTGTACTCTTATATTCTCTTACCCAGATCTCCCCTGGCGAAAGCTCTTAATTAAAGAACACAATTTATTTAAATAACACGACATCGTTTCGGGTATTTCTTCTTTGCTGCGCTGCAATGTGGTTTATACACCGACAATGGTGTGCAGTGGCGATGTACCCACAATTCCGTGCGAGCCTTGTTGCACAACCAGAAATGATGGTGGGGGGGTGGGGGGGGGGTATAGGGGGTGGCCAAACGTCGCTCGCTCTACGGGCCCCGCGCTAGTCCCTGCCCTACCCTCCACTGGACGCGAACCCAGCTCAGCGGCTCGCTCAACGAACCACGCGGGGTCAGCCTTTCCCCGTGACCATGAAGCCGGGAGCCGGGAGCAGTGCGGCTCCCGTCCCCCCCCTCAGAGGTTGCAGCAGGAGGTGAAGTAGCTGACGGGTTTCCCGTCGCCGGGGAGGCCTCCAGGACCGCACGAGTGGGAGCGCGGAGGGCCTGGGGCGTCGCCCAGGGCGGGCTGTCTCGCGTCCAGCGCCAGCCGTCGCGCCAGCTCCACGAAGAGGCGCTCGACGTTCTCCGCCTCCTTGGCCGACGTCTCGAGGTAGCGCAGGCCGTGCAGGCGGGCGAAGGCCTCGGCCTGCTCACGGGTCACTTGCCGCACGTCGGCAAGGTCCAGCTTGTTTCCTGCGTGTCGGGGACGGACGGACGGACGGGAAGTTGGCTTGGCAGACAGCGGTACGCTGTTTTTAGTTGCCCTCATCTGTAAGGTAACTTTCTGAGGGGCGGGGGGGGGGTCACCTCACGTGAGGTGATCTCACAGGAAGTAACGTCGTATCATTCTGCCACCATCACCAACAGGTGAAAGCAGATTGCTGCAACAGACACATTGGCAACAATCGCTCCGCGCCACCTCGTGTAGATCGCTACACACCGGGGCCAAGGCAAAGACGTGAATGCAAGCATACTCGGCAGCGGCGTAAGGATTAGTGAGCAGGCAGTGCTAACCTCAATAAGGCACTAGGGTGTCGCTAGATAGACCTAAAAATCATATTTCACAAGACAACTTAACGAGTATCATACCAAGCAAATTGATACGGCAAGGATCCTGAATGGCTCCTAAACCTGAAAGTGGAGGGTTTGTCTCTTGCCACTAGGGGAAACCCAAAACAGCGCTAGATTTAGCGACAAAACCGCCAAGTTGGAAACCGTCGCCTCTGATGTTTGGCAATGGGAAACAACCATCGCGATAGGACAACCATCCCACCCCTAACGCCACGTCGCGTCACGCAGCGTCACTTTTCGTCGCGTCACATTGCACGTCGCGTTACGTCGCGTTACGTCGCGTTACGTCGCCGCCCTCACCGACGAGCACGCGGGGCACGTGGGCGCTGGCGTGCTGCTCCATCTCACGCAGCCACGCGGGAAGGCAGGCGAACGTCTCCTCGCTGCTCACGTCGTACGTGAGCACCAGCGCGTGTGCGCTGCGGTAGTAGCTCTGCGTGATGGAGCGGAACCGCTCCTGCCCGGCCGTGTCCCAGATCTGCAGCTGTGTCGTGCGACGGGTGGGATGGGCGGTGGGGAAGAGGTTGTTGGGGGGCGGGTGGTTGAGATGGGAGAAGTCAAAGATTATTATATAGGTCCACCACCCGTTGAACAAATTGGGGCAACCGGACTGCTAACTAAACGTTTATGAATGAGTCAAAATATGGATTGGGAAGCGAGTCGTAAAGGACAATACGCCATGACCTATCCACTGCCTAGTGAAGGCTGAGACAGCCACTACTACTCTACTACTCTATACCCCTACTACTCGCACTTCCAGTTAGCGCAGTTGGCTAGGTACGGTGTGAAAGAAGTTCAACATGCAAAGACACACGTGTGTACGTACGTACACACACACACCCCACGAACACCATCCCACATTGAAACAACGCGGTGAAGCACGGTCGAACAAGACCCCACACCGACACGGCGAGAGGAGGCCTCCGTCTGGCGGTGGATCGACCGCGGCTGATGACGACGACGACAAATTTAATTCCCACTGAAGTGCAAACCCTCAAGACAGGGTGTAAGCGCGAAAGTGGCGAAAGGCGTTGGTGGGATGAGATGGCCTACGGTAACCCACGATCGATTGCCCACCCGGCCTTTCCACAAGAAAAAAAATTCTCAACTTCAAACTGTGTGGCCACCAAAGATGGTGGCCACATAGCCTTAACAGACTGTTGGGGCAAGTGCTGTTAGCGAGTAGCATCTACGAATACCGGTATGGCGCACGAAGGGGGTGTGCAGCTACCACCACCGCCACCGCCACCGTCGGGAGATTTTCCTTTATAAGAAGGCGTGTGGGGAATTCAAAAGAGCAGGCGCGTACACGAGAAAAGCGAGACGTGAGAGAGATGAGGGCCTGGGTAAGGGAAACCGTACGGCGCGTGGACAGGAGCCAACTGTTGCTGTGGACTGTGGGAGTGAACGTTTTCTTTTTTGTCGCGTTAAACAAAAAAAAAGTTTTACGGGAAAAAGCACCCCGGCCAACTGGGCAAACATAAACACGCATTCGCGAGCATGCACACGAGCACACGTGCGCATTAGCACGCACGTAACACAACGAGAGCAGGTATGTATGTGAGCACGTGCACCAGCACACGTGTTCACGAGCGCGTACATGAGCACGTGCACGAGCACACGTGTTCACGAGCGCGTACATGAGCACGTGCACGAGCACACGTGTTCACGAGCATGCACGTAACACAAAAAGAACAACAGCCGCCATTCGCCACTAATTGGTATTTACGTCACTACGGCGCTTGGGCAAGGCTTGGTGCACTTTGAGGCCATCGCATGAAGTGTCAAAGGTAGGAGGTAACGGGACAGACCCAGGTGGACTGACTGACTGAGATGACTGGCAGATGCACCACCTGTGCTGCCCACTGTGGCAACACATGTACATATACAAAAACGCACGCATGTGCATATATATGTAGAGGTGTAATTGTGCATGGCCACGGATGTTGAGGTGTAATTGTGCATGGCCACGGATGGCCAACAAACACAAGGGGCGGGGTTACGGCCGTACACAGGGGAGGTGCTCGCACCGACGTCCGCACCTGCATCCCCCACGGGCCCCTCCCGGGGGCCGAGTCCTATAAAAGGTGGTGAGCCGGAGGGCTCGAGGTCGGGGCTCAGCTTTAACCAGAGAAGAAGGAAGACCTGCTAGAATAGGCCCCAGAGCTCCCCTGGCTCACTGTCCTTATAAGGGCCGACCAGGGCAAGCCGGTGGCGTGGCCCCGAGAGCCCAGACTGACAAGCCGGTCTGGAGACTCAGGGTGCCGGGATCCCAGCTTGACCAGGGCTGGGATAGATAGCCTCCCCTAGCTCCGTAGTGGAGGACTTGGGCATAGGTTAACGGGGTTAGCTGTTGTGTATCCCTGTAGCCAAGTGACCCGTAATTACTGTGTGTGCACAAGTTGGTGTAATAAACAAGTGTGCCTCCGATCCTGTCGTCAAGCCTCCTATATACTTACTACATATATATACCTAGGCGTGGCCCAAGCCTGTTTCAGATCTTCATCACTGATGTTGGCCCGTCAGTGAGAATCGAACGTACACACACACGCACTCGCACTACGTGCACCCGTGTTTGCAAGGCGTCGTCTGTTGCCAGGGTTGTGACGATGGCATGATCGTTGATTGCCCGTCTGGCCGTGAACATTGCAGGGTCACACTGTCGGTAGGGGTAATGCGGCTGCTGTGGGTAGGCAGTTGCTAGAGTAAGGCCGCTGTGGCATGTGTAGACAGTTGCTACGCTTTAGGATGTAGGCAGGGTGAAACTGTTGAAAAAATAGTAATTTTAGCATTGGATAGATTGCTGATGTTTTGGCTGTTTGGAAAAATTAGGATTCTGGGATTTAAAGACTTGGAATGAGCATGCTGTTGGTATGAGTGGGCTGTTGATATATAAAGGCTGTTGGCATGTATAGGCTGTTGCATGGGTAGGATGTTGGCATTGAAAGGCTGTAGGTACGTGTATGCTGCTGTTGGCTGTTGTGAAAGTTGGTGTAGTTGATGCTGGGCACCTTGATCTTGGTTCCGTCCACCTCCACGGTCTTGATCATGAAGTCCACACCGATGGTGGCTCCCTGACCGGGCGGGAAGAGCCCCTACGCACAACCACCCCACACAACCACAACCACACACGCGCACACAACCACACAGCCCTTTGTCAGTTCACTGCTGGGTGAGGTTTCTCCCCACGCCGGGTGGGTCGTCTGGGTTATTTGACTGCAATTTATTACGCTGGTCAATGCAGGTCGGTGAAGTGGGGGAGCACTGGCTTGTGAACATACAAGTACAGTACAACGTCGAGATTGTTCTGCATTGCCCTCTACTGCCCAGCACGCAGTCCCCCGCAAGCCCCTCACACCTGGGCTCAATGCCGTTGGGATTCCGAGACCCGTCGAGACCGGACAAATTGTGGGAGATTTGTCCGAAGGGAAAATTGTTTAAATGTGTAAATGACAAGAAGAAGGAGCAAAAACACCAATTAAATCTTAATTAATAAAACGTGGCCCTCCAACCGAAAATGTATTCTCCAAAGATGTTTGTAAAAACTCAGCGTAATCAAACCATTAAAAAAAAAAATCTATGAAACTGATTTCCACTTTGCATGACCGAGAGAAGTGCTGACAATGAGACTAGGACGACCGGAGCGGAATTTTCCATTCCTCTCATTGTCTGTGCAAAAGAGCGTGCCGTTGTCATAAAAACCGTCATGAAGTCGTGACCCAACCCCACGACATCATTGTCATATCAGGACATCCACGTATTAAATGACGCACACTGCAACACAGCGGCTTTTAGGCACTGTATCCATCTAAATCGCTGCTACTGTTGAATCGCCGCATCTGTATTTTGGAATGAACTGGTGATTACACGAAACGTTGAATCAATTCCATCTTTTCGTGGCTCAAAAGTGTTGCTTCGAGAACATTACTGCCACAGGTGCGAATACAATCCCCGATGATCCAACTGTTCCATCGAATTATTGAATATGTATTCAATGACTTCCCGAGTCACATGCACATTTTTATTGAAATGGTCTACGCATAATGGGAACCTCATTTGCCAGTAAAAATATGATAATTGGTTTTCTTACCCTTCTATCTGGCAACAAAACTGCGCCTTTTGGCGTCATCTGGTCCAACCCATGTGAGACTAGGCTCTAAGGAAAGCTGTCTCGGGTGTGGACCAATCAACTTCAAGGACAGTGCACATTATCAGAGTTATGTCTTTTGTTTGAATTATGACGGCCTTCTTCCTGGATTTTGTCATCTTATTTATTGAAAAGATTTAAATTTATTTCACATACGCGACGTATAGCACATTGCAACAGTAAACATGCATCGTCACGGCGTTACAGGTCGTGCTGGAACCTTATTTACAGAGCTCAATTGCTGGAATCTCACAGGATTGGCTGAGCTTTTCTTAAAATAGCCACACAAGGGGCAGAGAAAAGAGATGGGTGAGAGGGCAGAACGTTGTCTATTTTTAAAATGTTTTTTGACCAGTCGTATATTACTACTCGGTACTTTTGATGGAACCTATCACATATTGTAATCCCATGCAACGTGCCACCATTGCGGCCTTTCAGAATCAGATTATTTATTCATACAGGAGGAATCCCATGAGCTGTAAAGGTCTTTGTCACAGATGTCCAGGAGGGACAGGTAAGAACGTTACAACAACCAACAATATAAAAACACGACAGTCGTGCAAAGTAGAAGAAAGGTGGTGAACAAATCACCCAAAAACACACAAGTAAAACTAAACCATCCCCATCCTACAAAGCAAAAGCCCACTGAGGTATTAACTTGGCCATCACAAATGAGAGCTCAACAAAGTGGCCTTTCAAGGGTACGTTGCCCTTCGGTGGAGTTGGGCTTAGGGTCAGAGGTCACGGGTAAGAGTGGGGGGGGGGTGTTGCTCAAACCTGCGTGAACCTCCGCACGAGGCAGGTCTTGCCGACCCCCGCATTACCGATGAGAACGATCTTGAAGAGTAGGTCACAGTCTTCCATCCTCCTGGGTCATCACCTGTCAATGGACACAAACACACCACCACCACCCCCCGTGCAGACTCTATCAAACTGTCGGGTGTACGTGCTGTTAAGCGAGAACCGATTTAAGAGTTCTATTCTCTCGGGCGATTCGATGTAAATAGACACAAACCCGGAAAAAGCTCCTCCGCATAGCCCGAATCAACACCGCTGGGGCACCTGCTGTTAGCGAGCATTGACTAAAGGCCGACACGGTACAGCACACAAAATGTTTATGCAATGCACTGGGTACTTGGGAACTATTTTATGGCTGAGTCTACCTTGGGGAAGCCCAGGACCAGTTCAGAAATTGACAACTACCATGGGCCAGGGTTGGGAATCGAGGGTCACCAGGTTCGGTGCACACTGCACCACCGCACACATACATACACATGGACACTGGCACATGCACGCATACACAATCAAAAGACAATAATCCCCCGTGTAGCCTTAACAGACTGTTGCGCCAAGTGCTGTTAGCGAGCACCTATGAAGGCCGGCACGGCACACGAGGAGGTTGGTGGCCAACACCACACCCGACCGCCTTTGTCTCCCCGGTGGTGATGCTTACACGGGTACTCATTTGAGGCCGAGTCGACTTAGGAGAGCCCCACGACTGACTAGTTCAGGTAATCGTCACTGGCAGCCCAACGAGCATGCTCACACGCGCGCATGCGTTATCTCTTAGGCGCGAGGTGATGTCACTGCACGGCACGCAATGTGCTCGCTCTGCGGTGATGTATTCGAGCAACTCCGTGACCTTTATTTAGGGGACTGAGTTAACCTGCGGCCGGTCGTTACCGTTGTCGTATCGCTCTATGAGACAAACCGCAATGTTCTTCGTTAACCGACAGCCTCGCAGAGTCTCAGCCGGAGGGTTCTGCTACATTGGTGATGTTTGGCCAATTCCATGGTTAAGGCGTTTGTGTGGCTTCGTGTGCCAGCAAACCGGAGAACACGGAGAAAACACAGCAGTCGTTCGAGGTTGGTGACGACACTCAAAAGCTCCACACGGATCGATTGATCAATCAATGTCTGTTCTGCCATCTCCTGTCCACCTCACCGCACAATTCTACAATACATATTCTTAGGTTTTTTCGGTAAAGTCACGTAGGTAAAAAATTAAAATTAATAAAAGTAAAAAAAAATCAGCTATCGTGCAGTGACGGTTCCATCTGAAGACGGAGGCTTGTGTTGCCTCCGAAACGTCATGATTTTTATTTAATTTAAATTTAACTTTTATTAATTTGAATGTTTTACCTACGTGGCTTTACCGAAAAAACCTAAGAATATGAATCCTTGCAGTCACGAAAGCTTCAAATCTAGAATCTACAATACATGTTGTTCCCAAGCAGTCTGCCATTCAAGTACTAGCCAGGATCAAACCTGCTTAGCCTAGAAAACCTGACGAGATCGGGCGTATTCAGGGCTCATTTGGTCGTGAAAATGTTTCAGTTGAGGGATGATGGGGGGGAAGAGGGGGGAAAAGGGAGAGGGGTTTGATTCTCAGCACATCATCATCCGTCCAGGACCAATAAAATGAGTACCACTTTGTGGGAAGCTAACCATGGATGGAGAGAGGTTGTTATCTGCAATGCGATTGTGAAATGTTCATCACCGGCTCACAGCAGCAAATGAGAATAGCACTTTGCCCCAACGCTCGTTTTAAACGGCGAAACACACATTTCTGTACTCGGATTATTAAATGAGCTAATTACAGTGTTTTCAACGCGCCGTTACAATGCGATTGGGGGAGTAGGTGTGAAGTTTGGTAAACGTTCGCGTGGTATTTTAGTAGCTTGCTGCAAAACGAACATGCGGTTGTTTTTTTTAATTCATCGTCTCTCTCTCGGTCTCTGCGTCTCCGTGCGAAATGAGTCGAATTGCCGAGGATTCTTGAGGATTTGAGCACGGGGAGAGCGAGGAGCGGGCCAAGCAAGCTGCGTGGAATCTCCGCTGTGGATGTCCTATGACGTCACCCTATACACAGGGAGTCCTCGGGAGCGAGGTGATCACACAGAGAGAGAGAGACACACGAAGACTTGGGAGACATCATTCCTTGTCAACCCACACGGTTTACCCACCCGTATTCTTGTACAGGGACATTGAGTTTTCAGGTCCATACAGCTGTTTCAGTACGGCAAAAAAAACAGTGTCCCTATGGTTTTGTATATCCACAGGGGCAGTGCCTATTTGTTTGTGTTGCTCCCTTGCGATGGGACTTTGTAGGATAAACGTTGACATTTACAAGGGCACGGGGGTGACCAATACGGTCTGAATTGGTCTGTAATAAGATAATGGGTCGACTGGTATGAGACACGGAGACGATGGCGAAGAGCAGACATAGAGACAGACAAGAACGCAGAATTGGTGAGACAATGAGACGCCATAAACAACAACAACGACACAAAAGGTAAAGCAGAAATGGTCAAGACGAACACACGGAGACACAGAGGCAGACGTGGGCACAGAAGATATGCAGATAGAGACACAGAAACAGAGTTATGCATAACCACAGAGACATGTAGGGAGAGAGAGAATAAGGAACAAACAAACAATGAGAAACAGGCACAAATACACGGAGGCAGACTTAGCTAAAAACAGAGACATGGGAGATCCAGACCCACCGAGACACGCGGAGAGATAAAAATAGACACCGAGACAAAGAAAGTGAGATGCAGATGACAACATTACAGACACGAAGCCGTGTGGATAGCGAACAAAAATTAGAGACGCATGCAGATGCAGTTGAGACACGGTGAACTTAAACAGAGATGTTCATCGAGACCCAGAGGCATGGAGAAGTGAGACAGAGAAGGGAAGACAGACAGACACACAGACAGCCAGTGAGAGTGTGCACACACATTCACACAAAGACAAAGATCCCCCGTGTAGCCTTAACAGGCTGCTGGGGCAAGTGCTGTTAGCGAGCACCTGTGAAGGCCAGAACGGCACATAAGGGGGGGGGGGCAACACCACTCCCGGACGCCTTTGTCTCCCCAGTGGCGATGTTTACACACCGCACCAGGTACTCATTTGAGGCTGAGTCGACCTAGGGGAGGCCCGGTTCAGATAATCGTCACTGATGTTGGCCGTGAGCACTCACACACACTCACACACACTCACTCACATTCACACTCACTCACATTCACACTCACTCACACACACACTCACATTCACACTCACACACTCACACACACACTTGCACACTTGCACACACTCACACTCACTCACACACTCACACACACTCGCACACTCACACACACTCGCACACACTCACACACACTCGCACACACACACTCACACACACTCACTCACTCACGCACACTCATACACGCACACTTGCACACACTCACACACTCACTCATATTCACACATTCACACACACACTCACATTCACACTCACTCACACACACTCACTCACACACACTCACGCACACTTGCACACTTGCACACACACACACTCACGCACGCACACACACACTCACTCACACACTCACTCACACACTCACACACACACTTGCACACACTCACACACACTCACACACAGACTCACTCACATACACTCACACACACACTCGTATACTTGTGAACAGCAGCCGCCATCCGCCACTAAGTGACGGGTGATGTCACCACAGCGCTTGTGCCAGGCTGGGTGCACTTTGAAGTCGTCACGCAAAATGTGTTACATACACACACACATTACAAGTATCATATAATTCACATTCATACGTCCATAATACACCAATACATACAGACTGGCACATACATTAAACACACGCGCAGATACGCATATGCAAATACACTTACCAGGCACCCACATATACACACAATGGCACAAACACACACGCACCTATACGCAAACTCCCATAAATATGCACACACAAGCATACACACACGCGCATACATGCGCGCACACATATACACACCCATTACATACATATACACAATCATACACATCATTGCCTATACCGTTCGTACAAACACACAAACACACACCCATACATAGGTACATGCCCCATACATACATGCACTGACACTCATACATAAAGAGGCACACACATACACCCATACATACACACCCATACAAAGACAAACGCATTCACACCCATACACGCACACCCAATACACATACACAAGCGCACAAAAACCCCATACACACACACCCACTCCCCGCACACACACACACACCCCACACACATACACACGCGCACAAACACACACACACACACACACCCCATACACACACACCCCATACACACACACCCCATACACAAACACCCCATACACACACACCGAACATACACATACACACAAACCCCACACACACACCCCACACAAACACACACACCCCATATACCGACACTTACTAAACCACATTTGAGCATTTAAAAAAAAAACCGTGACAAGTGAAAGCAAACAACGTGTTCTTGACCGACCCTTCTTCCCATGCAATTGCACGTGAAAGAAAAAAAAAACACAACTTGCAAACATTTTACACAACGGACAATGACACAATCAACGCGCACATTGGACACACACACACACAATTATCTTACCTCCCCCCCGTGTTGTAAGCACCCGCCAACTCCGTTACAACATCACAGATGGGAGAACACGAGGTGACGTAATGCTCTAGCGTGGCCACGCCCCCACTTCCGGGGGTGGGGCCGGAAACAATGCCGGGGGGTGGGGGCTATTGTCCCCCGGGGGGTGGGTAGGGGGGGGGCGGCAGACGGGGCTGGCCAATAGGAAGCAGGCAGGAGCCCGATTGTAAATCCTAATTCGCTTAAGCAACGGGGGGCATTGTTTGACCCACGTGGATGGTTGATTGAATATGGCAGCGCGCTTAGGAGCGGGCCCATTGTGCGAAATTAGCATTGGTTATAACCATAATTATTACGTTGAATTCGGGGCGCTGCTTCCCGATAGCAGAGCTGTCAAACCCACACGGGTTATCCGTATTGTTGTACAGGGAAATTGAGTTTTCAGGTCCATACAGCGTACAACCGTTTCAATACGTGAAAAAATGTTTTTTGAGATTTATAAGGCCACGGGGTGACCATAATGGTCTGAATTGGTCTAAGTAGGCACCGAGAAGGGATTGACAGGCATGCGAAAGTGTGTATGTTCTCGGTTCCCGTGGTGGCGTTTGTTTGTTTTTCTCCGGGTCCTCCGGTTTACCCCTCGACATCTATAAACGTGCATTTAGATGATTTTGCTGCATTAAATTCCACATAAGCCACTTCTCTTTGTGAGCTGTCATTTGTGGCCAGGTCACTTCTGAAAAAGCTCATAGCTCGTTACCTGGTAAGTAAAAAACGTGTTTAGTTTAATTGGTTTGTTTTTAAGTGATTTGTCTACCTTTCATATACTCTGCACTTCTATCATGTCTGTGTTGTTGTACCGTTATGACGTGCTCCTCCTGGACATGTGGAAAGAGCTTTATAACTTAACAGATTCCTCCAGTATATTCCGATTTGCAAATGTGATTTGTAACGAATCCTTACCGCTGTATTTGTAGTTCAATGTTAAAGGTGACATTTTATTGGACTTGTTTTCTTGGTGTAGTGAGACAGTTTTTTTAGTTTTTGCTGCCTTACCTTAAGTTTGATGAATCAGACTTATATCGTTTTTGTATCGTTTGCGGTGTTCACTTTCCGACCCGCTCAAATTGGACGTGTGAAAGAGCTTCATAGCTCATCCGATTCCTCCAATCTAAATAAATATTCTTTATAGCTATTTCTCGCTTACCGCACTCGCCCCAACAATGAGGCTCTGTAGGGGATCTTTGACTTTGTGTTGCATGAATGACACTATGTATTGGTGACTACGTATGTATGCAAGATGTTATCTCCCTCGCCTGATATGCAGGAGATCGTGGATTCCATCCCGACCCTGCCCCCTGTACATTTTGAGTTTGCATGTTCCCACCGTGGTCGCGTGGATTTTTCTCTCGGTTCCTCCGGTGTTTCCCTCCCCATTTATAATCAACATGCGTTCAAAGTATCTGGCTGCTGTAAATTCCCACGAGCAATTGTGGCCGGGTCCCTTCTGAAAAACAGCTCCATCGCTCAGTGGGCCTGACCTGGTGAAATAAAAATCGTAAATCGCTTCCCAGACCGGACGAGGGCGGGCGCGCTCCGGATGGTTTGGTCACATGGGCAGAGTCGGTCTCTGCATGCACATTTCATAACGAGCAGCAGCTTTTCTCCCTCCTTGGACCCCTCCCACTCGAATAAACTCCCTTGTACATCAATGAGTGCCCCTAAACCTCCTTCCGTTTCTCTTAATGCTCACCTCTTCTCGATTGCCCATTCTCTTCCCTCTTCCCTCCACTCCTTCCGACTATTTTATGATCCCAGAGTACACACTTGTCATTGTCACTCATTCCACAATTCTCTTCCGTCCCATGCCAACTAAATAATTCTTGTTCGCGTTTTGTAAGCTATGTCAAGCGCCCTTAAAATTAAAGTTGCCAAAAGTCATGGTTTTATCCAGGAAAGTACCTGCAAATTGAGAGTTTCAAACGCAGAAAAGTTTGTAAAAACCTGGATTGTCCTCTGGTTAAAATGCTATGGCCTCATGCTCAAGTCACGGATTTTGCCACACTTCTTAATTTACTTCTGTTAGATCCCAGATGTTGTGCCAAGGTCAGCCTCCCACGGTACCCTACCATCTGGCTTTAGAATTCCCCTCGATTGCAATCTCTATAGGTGCATAATAATACCACCGTAATGACAAACAAATGGAGTCATAAACTCAACTCTATTACAAGAAAAAAGTGTTACACAAGAACATGCATTGTGTACATATCGACAATATATCTGCGCGTTTGGAGGTTTTTTTTATACGGTGGTGATTAGTTCACTGCGTTGATATCTGAACATTGCCAGAACCCACCCCAGGTAGACTAGCCCCGACATGGGCAGCGTCCGGTGCCGATTTTCAACCAACAACCAATGGGGAGACAAAGGAGGCCGGGCATGAATGACGCTCGCCCAACGCCACTACTAGACAATCTAAGTCAGTCTGTAAAAAATAAGCAAACAATTCAAGCATTAGAAACACGAGTTTCAGCATTCGATCAGCAACCCAAATAAACAAAGTGAACCACCCAAGTCCAATTGAGATAATATGGCTTCACACCAAAGATAACCGTTCCACTCATAAGTTGCCATTACTGTTCACAAAAGTTACGAAGTTGTGAGCAAGCCACCTGTTAAATTTCGATTTGAAGCTTTCGTGACTGCACGGATTCATCTTCTTGGTTCTTTCGGCAAAGTCACATATGTGACTTTGCCGAAAGAACCAAGCCGCCACCTGTTGTCGATTGGTTTGGCGATTCACATTGGCTATATAACATCTGCGTTTAAACTGCATCAGCACCTGGTATTGTATCGTGCATTATCTGCTTTCACCGGGGTGTGTGTGGATCCAGCTTCATAAAGGGAGGCGAGCGGTAGTATGTTCACACAAGCCAAGTACAGCGTCACAAACGTATAAATTTATGTATAGCACACATCTACAATTTTTGCAATGTCCGACTGCAGCACAACGCGTGTAAATATTTCATCTCTCTTACAATGTGTACACAGGTATGCATCTTAACATTTAGACATTATCGTGGAACTTTGCCAAGAAAAAAATAAGGGCGTGCACTGCTACAACCACATTATTCACAAGCCACTTGTATAAAGCATTTAAACAAAAACAGTTGTTTGCAGGAACTGATGCTACCAAGGTAGTAATCTACAGTATGTGTATGTATGCACGCTGTTATGAAAACTTGCAAGAAAATGAATAAATAAGTAAAATAAAAAACATTTACTCTTCTACGCAGCAAGTGTGTTGTTTTTTTTTCCTTTACACAAAACACACATTTGAAATGTGATTTTGATCTACTGAGGTTGAGCGCCGTTTAAATCGCAAATCATTTCATAACGTCTAAAAAAAGTTGCACAAGCTTAACTAATATTAACAACTCCCGACTCACACCGGCAACACATCCGCTTCTTCCCAACTGTGGCTGCGAAACGTGGGGGGGGGGTAAGGGGTGCTAAATAAAACAAATTACAGGATGTGAAGAGACAATGTGGCAGCTATCCAAACGGGAAAGGATGTGTTGTTGGTGGGAAAACAATTTCCATCTAAATTCGACAGCCTGTTCTGCAAAAAAAAATTGCGCAAAAATGTTTCTGCTAACGAGAGGTGTAACGATTAAACTGCCCAAGGGAAATGATGAATAATTGAGAATCGTCACGATTTAATTCAGGAATATATATTTTTTACATTGGTGAATATTGTGGCCACTAGTTTGAAAAGGCCAAGCGAAACCTATGCCTTACAACATATATGAATAGAAAAACGTTGATTCTTGCACATGCGATTGGATGTGTAAATCACAAGCTATTAAGTATCGATATTAGTCAATGAAAATATGATCAAATATCCCAGGTTCATCCATGTCAGGTCTCATAAGCTAAGCAGGGTGAACATGGATAATGCTTGACCACCATGCACAATTAAAGGGTTGTCATAGGGCTTGTGAGGTTACGTGGTGAGCAGCAGAGGGCAGTGCAGAAAAATAAGTTGTATTTCTATGCTTCCACATCTGTGCTCCCCACCTCCACTCACTTGCACTGACCAGTGTGAAGTATGGTCAAATAACAACGTGCACAAGGAGCGAGGAGGCCCTCATCAAGCAGAGGACTGAAAAAAGGACCGTACGTGTCATATTAATCCATGAACCTACACATCGTTACACCTCGATCACAAACGCATGAGCAAGGCTGGCAGAGTAGTGATTTTAACATGTAGGTTTTCGCGACCAATATTATTCATAAAGGTTTTCAGGTTAGATCGCATAAGTAAAAATGTGTCATAACCCTCCACCAACCGACACAGCCAGTAACATCTACAATTTGAGTCATTGAAAATGTTGTGTATTTACTCTCCAACACACCGGTGGGGGGCTTAAGTAGCAACTGATTGGCACGCTTTGTTTACATGACAAACCTTACTACCCAAAAACCTTTATTCAGAGTGGTGATGCGGTGCAGAGAATGGCGGGCGAAGGGGCGAGTGATACGAGCGGTCGGGCTGCGCGACGCGACGTTAGGACAGGATGTCCACGTCGCTGGGGTCGTCTTCTTCGGTGACGCTGAGCGACAGGACCTCCTCCTTGGTGAACAGGCCACTTCGTTCCTCTTTGCGTGCCTGCCGCTGCCCCTTCAGCTGCTGCTGACGCGCCGCCTTCTGCTGCAGCTTGCGCTCGCGGGATCGCTTCTGTGAGACCGGACGACAAAAACAAAAAAGAGAATGTCGAATTTACATACACGCACACGTGCAAACATCGCACTCAACGTGCTAGCGCCCCACCTCTCACGTCACACACCCACACTATTATGGCCTCATTCACCACATATCTTGCTCATCATCATCGTTTGTAATTAAAATAGCAACTTGTTCAAGCACGGAAGGCCTCTAGGCACTAATACGGCCGCCCCCCCCCCCACCCCGCTCTAACAATTTTGCTCAAATATGCACACCCATTCACCTGGTCAAGCACTCATCTCGCCCCTGTAGGGTTCTGAACAAAGCCATTGACTAGTGGAAAT